TATTGCAAAATATGCTCTTGAGACTCCCATTGGATTTTGCTCAAGACTTTTGCATCTTGACGATACTTAGCCTCAAGATTTTTCATCTCTGCTGCTGTAAGATCACCATCATTTTCTGGATCTTCAAAGCCATTTGCAATAATAGTCCACAAACCTTCAGCTTTCAAATGTGTTCTCATTCTTATCTTCCAGTATTCAAAATTAGTTCAATCAAAAAATGGAGTAAGAACAACTGAAGAATTAGCACCTTCATTTGTTTTGGATGCCATATTTTTTTCTTCACCTAACCCCAGATTAAGAATGAAAATTTGCTCTTGATACCAATTTGTAGGAAATATGAAAGGAAAAATAATATCTTTGGAAAATGCTCAAGTTTATTATAGGCTACTTAAGGCCACTTGAGATGATTACAATCATCAACTACATCACTATTTATACTACTCAAAATAGAAAACAAAAAGTCATGCACAAATAACTAAATACATGTATCACAATTTACTAGATACATGTACTACGAAATTCTAAAAAGACTTCTTGAAAAACTAAGAGACGATTTTGAAAGAATAAACATTGATGCATTAATTATAACAAAATGAAAGCCAACTACGTAAGAAAATAAAAAAGTAGTCTCAGAAAACAAGGAAAATCGTTGAAGCCACATTTATCATACTAATGATATTTTCGAAAAATAGAGACATAACAAGATTCTTATGTTCGGTCACAAATAAATAGGTACATTTATCTTGTTTGAGAGTAAAAAATTTAGGCATCTTTGTCATTTTTGTAGGCTTGTTCTAATTAAAATCAATTGTTCTTTTCCTTCCCATAATCCCTTAGATATAACTAAATATGGTATATTTTCATCTCTCACTCAACGAACAATGTAAACATAAAAACAATTGAATATTTTCAAAATTAGAGCTATGAATATGGGCTAGTTCATTCCATCCAGGCTAATCCATACAGGCTTCGACATTTCAAGAGCGAGCCCATTTTTGGTGTGGAACAGAAAACAGTCATCCCAACCCACAAGTACGTGGGCTACAGGTTTTCCGGGCTAGCTCATCTTTTTTAAAATTATAATTTTTTGATTATTAAATTGAATTATAATTATAATTTAAAAATATTATCATAAATATCTACAAAATAATATTACATGATGTTAATGTTAGTACTTGTTAGTTAAATCCACACATAAAATTATATTTATAATATTTATTAAGGTTTTTTAAGTAAAAGTAAAAATATCTAAATAGAAATATTAATCTAATTGTTTTAAGTTTGGACTCTCTTTAATATTAAATTTTTAATATTATATTATATTTTTTAATTAATTTTTATTGGCCCACAAGCCGGTCCTATCAATATTTCTCAAGCCTCATACATCCGCAGGTTTATTCAGACCGGGCTAAAAATCTCTTTTCTTAAATAGGCTTAAAAAATCTTAACCCAGCCCTATTAAATTTCGGGTCAAACCAAACCAACCGAACGGGTTAGTCTCATATTGACAGCTCTAATCAAAATTGTTGAGAATACAAGGAAATTTACTTTTGTTTGCCCTAAAATCATCATCCAGACTTCCAGAGTAGAATCTTCAAACTCTTATCGCGCGGAAGTTTCGAGAACAACAAAAACAACCTCCTCAAGCGCACAATATTCAAATTTGCCAACACTTCAAGAGCATCTTCCAGTAACACTTGGCAGCACAAACTGATATTTTATGTCTATTTCGTGAACATTGCAACTAGAAAAGCTTGATATTGGAGGTTTTGTAGGCACGCGGAGAGGACGGTGAAGTCGGGGTCGGAGAATGACGAGATGAAGATCTCCATGACTGAGGGTGAACGAGACATAAGCTTAAAAAATAAAGTCTACGAGTTTTTATAAGAAGGAGAGAGGAAGCCATTTTTTTTGTGTGTGTGGGGGGGGGGAGATAAAAAGATTTTATGGGGAATAGAAGGGTAATGATGATGAACCTACCTTCACATCAGAAACTCCGGCAACTACTCAAGGGGAACCTAATCCACCACTATCACCATTAGCCGACCATCACCCCCAATTTTCTTCCCCACCATCTCCTTCCTCCATTCTCTCAGAAAACACTCAAATCCCTAACCCTATTTCATCGCCTCCGGAAACTATGCCCTCCTCTAACGCTCCTCATACACATACAATCCCTTCGTCTACACCGGTTCCTCGGCGTCCTTGCAAGCATATTGCTGTCAAACGAAAGGTGATTCGTACTCCTCGAACTCGACAAGCAAGTCAAGCCCATCTAGAGATGTTGGCAGAATCAACCAAAAAACGTCGTCGCACTGGTAAGTCACCTGCTTGCTCTTCTTCCACCCCTGTTATTTCTTATTCTGATGAAGACATTTTAGAATCTTCTCGTTCTTCACATCCTCCCTCCTCTAAAACCCTAACAAAAAACGAAATTAAATTTCATGCCATGGGAAGGGAGGCTTATTTTAAATCACAGAAAATCTTGAGAGGGCGAACAATTCATCCAGAAATCAGGGATCATACTGCGATAAAAAAATTGTTAGCATTACATGCAGTACAGGGGTGGGTAGACATTTTTCTTCACTCTGATAACATGATATTTGACATAGAAGTGGCTGAGTTTTATGTAAATTTGACAATGATTAATGATTCAGCACTTTCTTCGTCCGTTCATGGTATAGATATAGTTTTTTGACAAAACAAGATTAGGGGCAATACTTCGTATTCCTTGCATAGGGTTGGAGGAATATAACTGGGTTAAAGATGATAATTGTGCATTAACTTGAAAATTCACACAAGGGAGGGTCAGTGATCGACCCCGAAAGGTACTAAAAAGAAAAATGTCCCCTTTCCACAAATTAGTGTTTGAAGTAGTTCACAAAGGTATTATCCCAAGAGGAGAAAGGAGACATGAAGCTAACTTTCGAGATATGGGTCTTGGTCATGCTTTGGATACCATGCGTCCTATTAATTGGCCTTCCCTTATAATTAAACATATGGTCAGAATAGTGGATCCTAAGAAACCTCATCAATTAGCTTATGGAAACTTGTTGACTACTGTGTTTAATGAATTTGGGGTACCTTTGAAGGATGGCCGATCTTTAAGCAAATATGATATGCTTACTACTCTTGCTGAATGCAATCTCTTTGATTATGATGTTGATCAACTTCCTTTTCGCTCTGCTGGTCCAGTCACTGCTCTTATTTCTGAGCTTAATGAGGCTCTAGCTCAAAATGTGTTACTAAAAGATGAAGTTACTATTCTTCAGGCTCAGTTGGCGGCTTCTCAAGGGGAAGTTGGGAGATTAAAAGATCAACTTATTCAACAGCAAATTGATAACAATGCTCGTGTTGATCATATACTTCATGCTTTTTCTAGGTCTTAGTTAATGTCTTTTCTGTCCAATATTCAGACATTATTAATGGCTCTTGGTTGTATTGCTGCTATTGCTTTTGTGGATATCATAGAGTAGTATCATTTTATTTTAATGTTGTGGATATGTTTTTGGCTCTATCTTGGGATTTTTGATATGTCAAAAGGGGGAAACAGTTTCTCAAAACTGGTATTATGGGTATTATTTGTCATCATCAAAAAGGGGGAATTTGATGGAAGTTGTGTTAATTACTTTTGATAATGACAAATACTTTTGATGTCATCAACTATGAACCAGGTTCATTTATTGAATCAGATGTCATCTCACTTATAAATATTAGATGTTGTCTCACTCATGAACCATGTTCATTCATTAAATCAGTTGTCATTTTATTGAAAAAGAGGCGAAGGACAAATATTAAGGAACAGATTTATTTAAGAAATGAATGAATATAAAAATTGTATATTTCCATAAATAAATAAGACAAAACCTTTTCTTAAAAGGTTGCCTACTTTATACGAAGACAAAACCGTTTTTGAAAAGGTTGCGTATTTGGTATAACAAATAAAAGCAAGTCTTTCCATACCAAAGAAGAATACAAAAATCAGAATCATTATCAACTAACTGCAAAGAGAGGAAATAATTCTTGATCATCAAAAGACTATATAAACAGAGATTTCAAGACAAAGAGAGTCAGTTCTTTGCAATCGAAGAAAAGTGATGCGAGACGAAGAGAGAGGCAGGAAAGAGCGTTCTGTGAGTTCTGTGTGTTTTTGTTAGCTTGTGAGTTTTTTGAGTTTCTTGGTAAGATTGTGAGCTTGTGTGATGGTAAACAAGAAGTGGGTTTGGCTTCTTGTGAATTTGGAGAATTCGATTAAAGTTAATCGAAAATTGTAATTGAGTAAGAAAAATTAATAAAACATAGTTGATTTTTTCGTTCCTTGAGATAGAAATGATTTAGTTAAAGTATATTGTTTTAATAACTCTTTTCTTAGGAAAATAATCAAGAACATGATTCTTGATTTAGGGATAAGGTTTCTTCAATAGGTTTGGCAAATTTTAGTTAGTGGGTATAGAAAAAGAATTCTGAGGGTTAGTAACCTCATTCATTTGCATAAAAGTTACGGGGTTAAACAAACTGCCCCGATTAGATATAAATTGTGGAGGTTAGTAGGACCTCTGCAGTGAAACCCCACAAATCAACCCTTTTAATTTTGTAGTGTAAGGTCTACATTTCATGACAATTCATATATATATCTATTACAATTCCATGCATATTATAAACGAACAAAACGATCCTAATAGGATTATACAGGACTTCACATGTCACTTTTGGATTCTATTTTTTAAAAATAACCAATACCGTAAAACAGAAATTGGTTATTTTCAAATTAAGGAGCTGAAAAGTGCGTATTTATAAATATTACGCTCGTAAACACCTACCACAAAATAAAAAATCATAGATGCATTTTGTACTTTGACCAACTTTAGACAAAGTACCGATAACTTATTATGATCTTTAACAAAATAGATTCCTAGAGATGAGATCAATTTGCTTTGACCATGGAATTTTCTTCTTGGAACTTTATGTTATTCTTCTCCTCTATCATCATATTCTCTTTCTTGTCTTTGAAATTATTGTTTTGTGGTGGTTTAGTTTTTATGGGTGGCCTCCTTGTTGTAGCCATGCATCTCCTACAAATTAAACACAACTAATTCAAGAAGCAATAGTATCAATTAGAAATATATCACATGAATATAAATGAGTGACTGGCAAAAATTACTCCTCTGCTAAATTATGGAACTTCAACATCAACTTTAAGAAAAACGTCATTCAAGGTATGACTTAATGATCAATAAAGTGGATCGATAACCAAAAGCTTTTATGCTCACACCTCCAAGGTGATTTCTTCGTAGTCGTCAAAATCTTGGTGGATTAAGTTATCAAGTACCCACGTTTGTGGGAGGTACCAAATAACCTGGGGAATAATTAGTTGAGGTGCAATCAAGCTAGCTCAGACACCAAATTGGTTCTGTATAAAAATTGGATTTTCTTTTTCAAATTTACCTCTCTATTTTTGGCTGCGTTATACTTTAGGTTGCAGATCCATTAGGGTTAAGAAAAATATGAAACGATTTTCTAGCATGACAGTAAGAGACAGAGCTAGGTGTAAGTTCATGAGTTCGTATGAATCCAATAACTTATTCGTAGAATCTATATTTGTACTCAAAAAATTAACTAAATATGTATGTAGATTAACTTGTGAATCCTAACAAAATCGATTGCCGGTTATTAACAAAAATTAGAATCCCCAATCTTCTAGTCTTGGTTTCACCTCAGACTAGAGTATGTATGGCCCAAAAATATAATCAAACATGACTATTTTAATAAGATATTTCATTAGTTGACGGATATTTTTCACTAATTTTTCCTTAAATAAAGATGATATAATTTTTCAGATATGCATACATTTTCTTAATGAAACTAGCAAAGATGGCAACTCACATTGCTGTTATTCTCTTGAGTAAACATGGCTTGAAACTGGGAAATGTTAGCATGGTTTTGGCCACTAAGATACCTGAAAAAGCTATTAGCAGACAGTTTCTAAAAAATTGAAATTTACTTAGGAAAATTAATGAGAGTAATGAGTATCTAGCTAATCTTGTTATTACAATATACAAAGAAAAATATGTCACACTGTTATCAATGTATAGGGCACTCATTGACCCCACCCCTTACCCTACCAAAAAAAAAAGGAAAAAATAACGTATTATAAATAATGACTTTATTTTTAGTGAAGGACGACAATAGTCTTTAGTTCACATTCCAAAATATTGTTTTTTTTATCATGTTTTTACACTCATATTCTTGTTCTCACCTACTGTCTTTCTTTATATTCTTCTCCAAATAATTTTGGCTATTTCCACACATGATCGATTGACTTATTGGAAGACAAAACAAATGAGCCATTTTATTCCACCAGCAATGAGAAACGGACAGAAATTTGAATATTCCATGAGTTTAGTCAATTAAGAGAAAAACAATACAGTATTACAACTATAACATTTTCTTTAAAAAAATATATATATTAGTCATATTACCTATTGGGTTTAAAAGGTGTGGATGGGAAATGAAGAGCTGCGACTTTTATGAAGAGTTGTGATTTTGATGAAGAGTTGTGACTTTAATGAAAAGTTACAACTTTTATGAAAAGTTTTGACTTTTATGAAAAGTTGTAATTTTTACAAAATGTGATGACCTTCTCGAAAGATTGTGACTTTTTAAAAGGTTTGTGACCTTTCCAATAAGGCACAATAAGAACTTTTTCACACTACCCTTTGTTTTCTATAAATTGAGAGATTTCTTCTCATTAAAAAAAAAATTGGACTTCTTCTACTATTACCAAATCTAGTTTTTAAGTGTATTTTACTGTCGTTGAGTGATTCACTAACACTAGCATTTTGCGTATCAATAAACTGTTGATTGAGATCATTCTATCATAGGAGGACATGTAAGTGAGAAATTACAAGACAACAAAAATACAAGATTACAACTGAAAATGAAAATGAAAAAATAAATTTCTCCAAGGCTGAGGCGCGGATATCTCGCTCTCTTTAAGCAGATTCAAGCCCACTGCAGCAAATGTTTTCACCGGTCAACCAATAGTCCTCTTTGACTTGTCCCCTCCAGGATACAACAATCTTCACAAAGAATAACTCAACAACTCTGGACAAGAGTTGAGTCCAAATCTCCAAAAAAAAAAACACCTCACTTTAACTAATAAGAACTCTCTTTTAAACTAACTCTTTCACTCTATGTGTTTCAATTCAAAGGAAGACTATCACTATTTATACTACAAGCATTCTTCTTCCTAGCAATAAATAGGAAGATAAATGGTGTAGTAAATAGTGAAAATAAATGGTTTAGAGATTACATATGTTACAAAGAATAATGAAGGATTAAAGAGTGAAATGGAGAAATAATGGTCCTGGCCATTACATATTCTGCCATGCAACACTAACAATGGACAACTGAATGACAATTAAGACAAATTGCTGCCAAAAAAGAGTTATACAATTTGGTAGAACTTATGCTGTTATGTTTCACCTTCTGACAAGCATGCATGCAACTAAGAATTGGATAACATTTCAATATAACTTTAATAATAATAAAATATTAAAATTTTCTGCTAAATTAACAATCTCCCACTCATTTTAATATTAGATAAGAGAGTATATCAGCTGAAGGAAGACTATCATGCATAACGAAGGTGTGCTCTGCATTTAACCTCCACTTAGTGAAACAGTTGTTGCCAATTTGTGTTAAGAAAATCAGAAATTACTGGTTGTAATAAATAATTCAGAAACACGAAGTAACTGAGATTTTTAGAACCAGTAAATAAGATGAACAGAAGTTTATTTGTAAAAAATAATTTAATCTGTAAAACTTACCAGAATGTTGAATACTCTTTTATTTCTCTTTTTAGGAAGAAAATCAAGTCCACTGAATTCACAGTGTCCCCTTAAGGAAATTATTCCCCTCTAGTATCCGAGGTTTGATTTGGAATATAACCTCCCAGGGTAAAATGATCTTAATCAGTAGAGTATAGATACCAAAAACTCTACTGTCAGCGAATCAATCCACAGCACGAAAGTACACGAAGAAATATATGTTTTTAAGAAGAAGGAAGATCAGAAAATTCGTTAGGAAATATTCCGAATACTGAATGGTATTTATAGGCAAGAATAATATATTCTGAAAGGTTGCTACCCTTTCAGAATTGACACGACCATTAATGAAAGGTTGCAAACTTTCAAATGGTATTGACTGTTCCTAAAAGTTGCAACCTTTCAGAACAGTCATGGCGAGAAATTTTGAATATAACGGAATTTAAAACGGGTCACTCGCGCGGATCCGAGTCGGGTCGGGTTAACTAAAAAGTTGAAAATATTTCGGTTAAATTCTGTTATCAACTTATTTATTGAAAATAATTTTTGGCCATTTAAATTAATTAATAAATAATTAAAATAAATTTTGTCCAAAATATTATCTCTCGATCGATCATTTGCCAAAGACAAAGCCAAAGCCAAAGCCAAAGCCAAAGCCGAAGCCGAAGCGAGCAACGACGACGACGGCGAGGGTGTCCCTCTTTCCAACCCTTTTAACAATTAATAGGAGTGTTTATTTATTTAAACTCTCCTATTTTCATTCCCATTACCGATGAGGGACTATTGCCTTTTTCAATAAAGCATTAGAGGACTTTTCAAGTTTCCAACCTTTCAAGTTCTAAACTTTTCAAATTCCTCTCCTTCCCTCTATTTCCCATCAATTCTTGCTACATACCCAACAATCCCCCACATTGATGGGGAATAGTTATAACATAGGAATGCATGGACAATTGTGTACATTACAAGCAAGGATTAATTGCATCTGGATAAGTAGGTTTCCCCTTGGACTTTCCGTAGTGAACATATGTCGAATATACTCGGTCAATCGGTAGATGTGATATCTTTGAACCGTCAAGCTTTGGTGTATACCTAGACAACCATATGTCACACAATTAACTCTTTACTGTTTATGATTCTTACGGTTGTGTTCGTTTCAGCCACGAACACCTCCTGGTTTCATGAGTGTATAGAGAATAGGCTTTTGACATAAAATTCTCTTTGAAGCGGCTTCCACTTCACACTCACATAGGTGATTTCTAACCGTGTCATCTCGTAGATACACTATTTGGTCAAATCTACCAAACTTAGCAAATCATTAAAAACATTAAGCTTTATTACCTCATTAACAGGCCTTGAAGTTTTAACCTTTTCCTGAACATTGTCTTCATCATGAGAATGGATTGAGTTAATTGACAATGTCGAACCGTCAGCCACAACTTTGTTTTTCTCCTTGAATCTAGCTCTTGGGATCTACAGTCTGCTAGATAGAGTTACCGTCATGCTGACTTGTTCTAAGCCGTAAACCCATTCTCTTAGATGATCTTTCAACTGTCTCTCTCACTAGGCCTTTCGTTAGTGGATCTGACACATTATCGCTTGACTTTACATAGTCAATTGTGATAATTCCACTAGAGAGCAGTTGTCTTATGGTGTTATGTCTATGTCGTATATGACGAGACTTCCCGTTGTACATAACGCTCCCTGCCCTACCTATTGCTGCTTGACTATCGTAATGTATGCAAATTGGTCCAACAGGTTTGGGCCAGAATGGAATATCCTTTAGGAAATTCCGAAGCCATTCCGCTTCTTCACCAGCCTTATCCAAAGCAATGAATTCAGATTCTATTGTGGAGCGAGCAATACATGTCTGTTTGGAAGATTTCCAAGAGACAGCTCCTCCACCAAGTATGAATACATAACCACTCGTGGATTTTACATTATTTGACCTGG